ATTTGCCAAATAATTCCTTCATTGCATGTTGAACATGTCTTCTGTTAAACACCAGCTTTTGCCTGTCTACTTTCCACCACACTGTTTTTGTTAATTCTGTTCTTGGTCTGCTTCTTTTGTTGTTTGTTTTCTGTGCCTTCATTCTCAACATGTCTTTAAGGCACTGCATTTACCTGCTGAAATAGTTATTCATCTTCTAAAGCCCATAGTTATTCATCTTCTAAAGCCCGTAGTATTCCCCAAGTCTGTATATTTTTCCTCATCGTCCGTGTTCCTCTGATTTAACTGTTCCATTTTGTTTTGACTTTTGATTATCCCAGGGTCCGATTGGTATGGATGGAAAGCTGGTAGGTGATTTGTTCAAAACCAGTGTAATTTAGGTCTTGCACATATTTCCTCTTTGCTTTCTTAATTACTCATGCTAGAATGTGTATTAATCACATATTGGCTTCCTTTGGCATAACTTATTTTCACCTCAGGAATATAGATTTTTAACATAGTGCTGAAGAGCCACTTTAGTCTTTTGTGTCTATCCAAGGAAATGGAAGTCAGCCATGGTATTCCTGTTTTCTCATCATTTTCTGCCTAGATTGAATTAGAAGACAGCTCTGTCCAGAGAATGCTCTACAAGGATAGTTTCCTGGTACCTTTCAAAGAGCAAGATATTATTTCTGATCCTATATCTGTGACTCTTGATGGTTTCCCTTCATTTTTGCATCTTAATTTCTCTGTCCTGATTTTGTTGGCTGATTAGATATGAACAGCCTCATATCTCATTTTAAATGCATTCGTATACTATCCAGGATATTGTCTGGTTAGATGCTACTTAAATTAAGGCAGAAATAACCTTTAATTTCATACAGTGCATTTGTGTATGTATTTGTGTACGTATTTGTATATCTAAATATTTGGGTCTGTGAGCCTGGAAGTTTTATGTTCTTTATGCTCTTTATGCTCTTTAAAGATTAAAATAATGCAGAAGATGTGAAAATCCAGTTTCTGTGATTTCTCATACTGGTTTTTTTTGCCTCCTCTCTCTTTTTCCTTTTCCAGGACAGGTCTTTTCTCTGATACCCTCAAAACATCTTTTCTGTCCTTTCATCTGCTACAAGCCTCATTTCCTTTGCACACTCGTTAACTTGCAGTGTGAGCTTCCATTTTCTTCTCTTAAGACTTTTTCTTGTGCTCCTTGAGGTATCTTTCCACTGCTAGGTAACTTTTCTGCAGTGTTTGCAGCCTCCAGTCAATAAGCTTTAATCTCTTTCAGCAGATTAATAGTTTACCTGTTGACTTCAAGTAGACCTGGCTGCACCATACATCTTTTCTTTTTCTTTTAGTATCATTTACATATCAGCAACTAATATTAGGTTAAATTGCTAGAAAGGCATCAACTATCAGCCATAGAAGACCTTTGATCATGATAATTGGAATAGGCTGCTAACCTTGATCCCTTTCTCTCCTTCAAAATAACACATTAATCAGGAAACAAGAATATAGAAGGGAAAATTGGTCTAAAGATTTTTCTGAAACCATGGCATATTATGCAGCTACACCTGCTGTAGTAATTCAGATTAACAATAAATTAATAAATAAGCAGCAAACAGTAATAGGTAATCAAGTGCATGAGCAATGATCCAGAGATTCAAAGCAGCATACGCTAACACACCTGATAAGTTATTGTTGTTGGGACTCATCTGTACATGCATGCAAAGAACAGTAGTCAGTTGTTAGTTACAATCAGTGAATCGATTTTGCAGTTCATAACACACAAAGAGATATTTATTAGAAAAAAAATAGAGTAATGCTGACTTTTCAGTCTTGAAGAGTATCTTCACCCTCTTTGTTATCTAAAATTTACAGAAATACTTCCAGCTAAAACATTTTAATCCACAAGTAACATGCAATGGAAACAATTTGCACAGGAATAAACCAGGGTGATTTCACCCATCCTGGAGCCCTTCTGGAAGCATGGGCATATTAATTGAGGTTGAGCTTGCTCAAATGAGTTGGAATATCAGATTGTATTCATGCTAGAGTGTTTTTTAATGAACACAAAAGTAATTCACAGAGCTTTATTATAAAAAAGATAAGTATTGTGATGCTTTTTTCTATCCGTACCTTTGTAAGCAGAGCAGATGAGTTTCATAATATAGTGCCTGCTGCATCCTCTGATTAGTGTCACTTACGGATCATTAGTGAGAAGAGAAAATTGTACTGTAGCTGCAGTAGCTAGTCAGGCAAGGAGCATCTAAGAGAATGCAAAAATATTGAAGGATTAGAAGGAACTGAAAAAAAACCAACCAGAAAATAACTACCTTTGCTAATGCAAAGTTCCTTCCATACTCCAGGATCTCTTAGCCAACAGAATAAAAAATTCCTGCAATGGCTACTTTTGTATTCAACATCTACATTTACACTTAAGTGCAGGATGATTGCACTGTTGATAGCACGTTAACTAAGAGTAATGCAACTATTACATTCCCCATTATTTTAGAGTTCTGTGTCACAATGAAAAACAATTGTCCTATAAAATTTCAGTTTCTAGCTTTCCCCTCTCTGTATTGCAGATAGGATAAAAAAGTAACTATAAATGCACAATGACAGAAAGGCAAACTGGTAATGATGTTGAGATAGAGTCAAAAGCACTTTCATGGGAGCATGAATCCATCTCTGACATTCAATTTAGGTTATGTTTGTGTTATGTGTGTACTTTCTTTATATCATACATATGGCATGTACCATATGGACACTTAGTAGCCTATACAGCTAAATGAGATTAAAGAAAAAAAGTGCAGTTTTCAAATCTTTTTCTTTAAATATATATGTACTCTGTTTATATGTTTTCTACTACTTTGATTCAACATTTTGTTGAAGCATTTTGGTAATTTCATACTTCAAGTTGGTTTTTGTTGTTTTGTTTTGTTTTGTTTTTTTTTTTAAATCTGTTTTAGAGACTGTTTTTAATGGTTTGGTCAAAATTGTAACTTTAGATATATTTATGAGACAAATGTTTTGTGAGTTTGTCTATGAAAGTTTGTACACATAGGTTTCAGTTTAGTTAATTTATACAAATTTATTGTAGCAGCTGTCCAGTACTGCATAAATAAGCAATTCCTGAGGATTTTAGGATCAGATATAGCATATAATAGCTTAAAACCTGCTGGGATGGGAAGACTTAGATAAAGGCTGAGTGCTGAGCATATACCGACATCCAGTTGTATTCATCAACCCAGTGTGATGTGCAGCTTCATAGAATTGACCAATCTAGAAAACAGTAGTTCATATTATAACTGACAAACTGCAGCCAGTGCTTATTTTTGTCTGCAAACCTCTATAGTGCAATGTTGTTGTAAGGCACTAGTACGAAACTGCAGCACCTCAACAAAGAGTGCTTTTAGGCTGCCTTCAGTGTGAGGATTAGGTAGCCACAATAAATCTGTATTTTACTATGATTTCTCTGTAAAGAAATTTCTAATTTTTTTATATTAAAATATTTAATTTTTTTGCATGTGAATTAAAACATTTTCCTGGTTTTTAGTTAAGTACAAAAAAATCTTATAAGTTGCTAAAAAAAAGCATTTATATTCAGATGCCCTCACCCCTTTCTTTAAAATCACACAGAGTCCCAGAATGGTTGAAGTTGGAAGAGACCTCTGGAGGGCACCTGGTGTACCCTCTCTACTCAGAGCCATCTATGGCAAGTTGCCCAGGATCATGTCCAGACAGCTTTTGAATATTTCCAGTGTTGCCCCCCTGGGCAACCTGTACTAGTGATGAGTAACCCTCACAGTAAAAAACTGTTTCCTGATGTTCAGATGGAAAAGTTTCAACTCTGTGTATCACTACCTTCTGGCTAAAGTGACAAGGTTTTATGAGGTTTCTAAGGAGTCTGCATGCTCAGTTTCTTTCAACAAAGCAAACATAGTTTCACTTCAGCTGAAATATTATTGGTGTCATAAAACACCAGAAGGCAAGCTAGCCCTAGGAGTTTTAAGAAATTCTCTCTTTATAGGGAGAAATACACAAATACAAATCTGTCTTATAATGTCCTGTAGAGCTGATTGTCTGGGTGGTTGTAGTCCGTAGTCACAGCTTCTATACCACTTTGTTACACAGTTGGTTTTTTTAATTTGCTTCTTGCAAATAAAATATAGCGAGAGGGCTAGAATAAGTGATGACTTTCACTGGCTTTCCTAGGCTAGGGGCCTCAGTCATAGGAAGTCTGCTCGGTAAGGACTTGTGGCAACAAGAGATACATACAACTCTTTAGTGCACAAAGAGTGTTTCTCCATTTGTCCAGGGTAGTCCAAAGGTGATGTTGGTGAATCAGGGAGAGGAAATGTATCACTTAACTCTTGGGGTGACTGACAAGGGTTCATCTACTCCTGACATGGTGACTTAAATATTGGTGTAATACTTGGTTAAAACTGTGATGCTTGCAACAAGAACAAAAAGACTATTGTTCGGCCAGCAATGTGTTCCTTCACTTTTCAGAGTTTGTTCATTTGATGGACAGCAATTAGCACCTCCTTGAAACATGGAGATGTTGAAACATAGAATGGTTAGTGTTGGAAAGGACCTTAAGATCATCTAGTTCCATTCCTTCTGCCGTGGGCAGGGTACACCTCCCACTAGACCAGGTTGCTTCTAAATCAGTTCAGCATCTGTGGATCCTTTCTTACTTCAGAATGATTAAATTAGGTCTTTCTTAACTGGTCTATAATCGAAACAATTAAGTTTCTCAAATGCAAGTTTAATGATGTGTTATTGTAATTTAATTCTGGAATGACTTAATTGCAATAAAGTTCATCAGATTGAAATAAAACATTCAAATTCAGTATAAATATAGGAGTCAATATAGATTTAAGAGTCTGACTTCAGTACAGTTACTGGATTATTTTGTTATCTCCTTATTAGAGAGTACTGTAACTATTTGCTGCTATTTAAGGAATTAATCCTTGTCATAACTTTTCATAACCTTATCTTTTCTTGTTTTTCAGGGTCAACCTGGTCCTCAAGTAAGTGCCATCTTATTTTCCTACAAAGTTAAAGCAAAATACAGAGCCCACTAAACTCAGGCAATCTACAAAGTATTTTAATGGATTTATTTAAAACCTACTGTAGTAAGCTAGAAACCATTGCATAATTCTGTAAGGCAAATATTTCCCAAGAAAGAAACATAGGCCTCCCCCTAGGGTTGTCTGAGTTCCCTCAGCTGTTTGACCAGATGGTGGGGTTAACAGTGTTACACTGTGAATAAAGCAAATCTCTTAACTATGGCTTGAAACTTTGCCACGTAACTTTAAAGCAAGATAAAATAACTTAGCAAATGTGTAGCAAATGTAATACTTCAACTGCTTATTAATCACATGCTAATAAAGTTGTTATAATCCAGGCAGCCCTCAGTTATTTTAAATATTGCACTGCTTGCTATTTTTACTAATTCTATAGACTGCTTTGAGTTTGTTCTGCTTTGTTTAAGAATAGGAGAACTTTGTCTTGTGAGCTGGAATTGAAAATGTGTAAATCTGGGGATCTAACTTCAGTTTTAAGGTAGAAATAGACCAGCAGAAAGGAAACAAGGTATAGCAACAGTTACACACAAAGTTTTTTGAGCCAAAGAGTGGCATGGGAATGTGGAAGAGCAAGGGGAAAAAGAAATAGAACCCAATACCAAAGCCAAACTTAGTTAAATCAGTTGAAAAACTCTACCTTTTTACATGTTCAGGATGCATTATGAGAAATAAACTCTGGTAACCCTGGTCTCTGGTACCATCTTAGTACAAGTATGTTGCCTGAAACAGGATTCTTGTCAGTGCCTTTTGTATTTCAAAATCACATTTGCAAGTCAAAGTTTTACAGCCTCATTGGCTGATAACTTTTTAAAGTTAGGATTTTCTTTATGGGAAGCAAACTTGGGGGGGGGGGGGAGGTTTATTTGTTTCTGATTGTAATTTTCTGCTGAAAGGCAGTTTCTGTTACAAACTCTCATCCCACTCAGTTTGATTGCCTAGTACCCTTGCAGTGCCAGCCTCCATTTAATAGTACTACATAGGTAGGCAGTATGATATGGGAAATGTCCACCCCCCATAGCGCTTATGTTTCCTAGTAGGCTCTCAGTGTGTGGCCTTGCGGCCTATACAGAATTCTTCAGCTTCTGTGCTGCTGGCAGTCAATGAGGAGATAGTAATTCTGTGTGGCACTCTTGCTCTGAATGAGCTCTGTTGAGGACCTGAGGCTGTTACATGAACCTGTGGGTTGCCCTCTAGTTGACGTTGACTTGTGCTGCCACCCATGTCTTTTCCCTCTGGGTTTAGACCCCCACATTTCAGTTGCTTGGAGTGTCTTCTGTTTAATGCCTGTAAACAGCTTCTCAGTCCTCGGAGCTTATATCTCTACATGAAATGCCCTGAGGTAGCTGTAGGCAAAGAACCACAATGGAGATGACAGCACTCAGTGCTGTTCCAAGGGCAGATAAACAGAACAGACAAATCTGGTCATGATTATAAGAGAAATGTGGTGCAAACCATAGGAAAAACTCTCTAACTCATCTCCCCTCATTTTATTAGCTTATCTGTGTCCCAAATGATTATACAGAAAACAGGTACAAGGTACTAGGACCCACAAGACTTAGGATGAGAATTCTTACACTCTAACTTCAGTAGTTTCTCCTAGTGGAAATGCTCATCTCTGTGTCATTGCCATTCTTCTGAGTATCACTTACCATTATTCTTAATACTGGCTTTTCCTCCTTTTCAGCTCAAGATGCTGTTATTGTGGCAGGAAGATACCTATGTATTCAGTCATTTTGATCGTCTGGTTGAGCCCTGAATAATACTTGCAAGGGCACTGATGGGGAAGTCATAACAGCATGAAACAGTGTAGGATTCAGCTTTAGATCAAGATGTCTCAGCCAAGGAGCTTGTGTGTAGGTGTTGACATGTGAGGTGTCTTAGCGCTCCTTGCAGCCATTGAAGGTTGAGTCAATACTCAGTGCACCTAGAGGCCTCTTCAGTTCATTGTAAACTCTTAGGGCTCCATTACATTGCCTGCATACTGGTGTTGATTGCTGCATGAGAAGATCCAGGGTCTTCAGCCTAGCTTCTGGTTGTTGTGTGTACAAAGAATCTGTGTTGGATCGTTGTTGTACCTGTCAGTCATGGGCAGCTGTTTTGGATACCTACGGAATCTCTCACATGACATTAGTTGTACACATTTGTGCCTCTGAATTCCAGATTTTGATTATAGACAGCAACCAAATCAAGTAACCATTTGCTGAGTTGCTTTCTAGCCTGTTGATATCTACATGTCTTAAGCAACTAGATGTAGGCTGTACATTTAGATGTGGTTCCTCTTAAGCTGAAGCCCAGATCCAGATGAAATGGCACTTTTAAAATGTTCAAAGCTGTGGTTGAAAAATCTCGAGACTATATTTTTAAAGTGTCGATAGAAACCAGAATGTGTTCACATCCAGATAAAACAAGTAAAGCCCCCTCAGTTTCTCATTAAAAAAATAAAATAAAAAAAAAAAAAAAAGGAATTTCAGTCACCTGGGATTGTCAGTAATTTTCCCAGTCTTACCTGTGTCCATGTGAAATCCAAAAGGAAAGGTATTGGTCGGTTTGGTTAGTGAGTAAAGGCTTCCTGGTTTCAAAGATCAGAATTGCTATGCTGACAAAAGCAGGACTTAGAAAGTTTTTGATGTCATAGCTATGCAAGTCCAAAGTGAGATCAAAGATAAATTCTAATGCTTTTTATACTTAGTGTTTTATTAACACCTATTATTTTTTTGCTATGGTTTTCAAAAAGTAATTCAGCCAATACATTCATAATTACTGGGTCCAAATATAAATTCATAACAGATCAGTAACACCTCCTATCTTTTTATCTTTAAATTTTTAATGCTTTTCCTCAAAAATATACTGCAAAAGATAATTTTGCTTCATATTTGCTTGTTTTAAGTAAAAAGAAGCTTTATTACAACCCACAAGCTTTTTTTCTTTAGAAAAATCTCTTGGTTCTGTTGTATCTCTGAAAGGTAAAGACCAAGATCAATAGCTAAATTTCTAGAAAAACCTTTAAAAAATAAAGTACTTTGTTATGATTTTAGTTGTCTCTTAGAAAGAAAGCTATTCTAAATACCATGTAAACTGAGTTCCTTTATAGAAGAGCAAGTAATAAAAATCTTAATATTTTTGCTGAAAGTTAAATGCTGCATTTTGAGTGAACTCAAAGAGTACCTGCTTTCTTTTGTTTGGAATTTAAATATGTATTTAGATTAACCTGAACTACAAAGGTTTACTTTGGCAGTAAATGTCTACAAACAGATTCTGCCCATACATCTCCTGTTTAAAAAAATAATGGAAGTATTTATGTTTGTCAAAGAACAGACTTTAGCTTCTAGTCTCAAGTAAATTCCGTATGGAATATACTATCTGGGTATAGAGAGAAAGCTTGTTATTTTTAACTTTTTTGTTGCTTAGAAGTAGAACTCATATAAACATTAGAAAACAGTGCAGTTAGTATTATGGTGAAGGAAGATAAAATGATCGTTTACAAAATCCTGATGAACTAAAACTGCTAACAGCTATAAATGTGAGGCTGGGTGGTGTTTTGGTGTGACTTTGTCTCAGTCAGCCAACTGTTTTCTTCTTTGTGGAACCGTCTTCTTGGCCTGTCTCTCGTGTAACATACTTTTCCTCTTTTACGGCAGCATACGTGATCACTCTCTGTGTGGGACTTTGAGATACAGCATCCCCACAGATGCTTCTCCCTTCTATTTGGCAGCCATTCAAGTCTGCATTAGAAATTGACAAAATACTAATGATTGATACTCGTTTTAATGAAATTCTTGTTTTCCTGTATGTGATATGTCTGTGGAAGTGGTTCTTTTTCAGTCTGAAGTTTTCTAGTGTTGTGTGCATGATAAAGGGATACCACAGCAATTCTGGTCCGTGGCAGTTAAACCTCAGGTGTAAAGGGTGGGGCCAGTTCTGCGCAAGCTGTGCTTCACCTAAAAAATCCACTGCACAGGCTGGAAGGGCTTACTCTCACTTGTCTGTATGGATGGGCGAGGGTCGGAACAGCAGGTGACAAGGTGCATGGGAAGCTGCAGATCCAACCTTGCATGTGGGCGGACCAGTGCATGGGTAGCCCGAGATTGCTCAGGAGATGGCAGTCCTAGTCGGACACGTCCTGATTGCCTAAGCACCCTTTTTTCCAACCGGATTTGCATATGCCACATGCCCTTGGTCATTGTGCTTGTAGTAAGCGTGGTTAAAGCCCTTCCCAAGTCTTCGCTCGCAAAGCCAAGCCATCATCAATAGCAACTCTGGTGACAAATGTATGTGTGTCTTTTTCACCATTGAGCTTCAGGGTGACTGGAGTATTTTTGCTTCTGCATGGCAGAGATTCTGATTCCTGGTTATACAGGCTACTACTGGCTCTGGTGCTGTCAACAGAACTGGTGGGAACCTTTTTAAATCTTAGTTTTCTGGTTTCTGTCAAGGATTGAGAAAAACAGTCAGTAGGACATAGGACATAGTTTTGAGGTGTTTTAGATGGCAGCAGTGTACTCAAGGGATTTGTTTATCACTTCCTAGAGAATAGTGTGATGGTAGGGAAAATCCTAGGCCTCAGGAAAGAGCTGAGTATCTGACAGCAGGATGAATGGGAAGGGGTTGTCTAAATAAAATGTATTTTAAGTCCTCATGAGTTTCCCTTTCAGCTTTGCCAGTTTGGATGGGTAGCTGCATTCCAAGATCTGTTTAATACTCCTCTCAGTTAGCACATGCTGTTCAGTACTGGGGCAGTTGATAAGGTCAAGTGATCACGTATGTGTTTTGATGGCTATTTAAACTATGGGCAAGGTACATAATATGTCCTATTGACTAACACTGCAAAGTGGTCTCTACCTGTCAGACCACTGAAGTTGGACATGCTTCTTTTGTTCTGATCTCTATAAATTGAGGTGTAAGCTCAGTGCTCCTTGTTCCTAGCAGTTTGCTGTTAGGATTGC